GAGATAGTTGACATGAGTCGAGTTCCATATGTTTCGGGTCTAGGATCGATCAAGTATGCAATGACATGTAGTCATACTAATGTGTCTTATGCCTTGAGTATGGTTAGGAGATTTTAGAGAAATCCTGGCAGAGCCTAATGGATTGCAGTGAAGAATATTCTTAAGTATCTACGAAAAACAAAATGCATGTTCCTAGTTCTTAGCAGCAGTGATACATTTAGAGTGACTGGTTACAGTGATGCCAGCTTTCAAACAGACCAAGACAACTTTTGTTCGCAGTCTGGCTGGGTGTTCTTATTAAATGGGGGAGCAACTCCTCAAATGGGTATTCTCTTAAGCCCAACATACTCTTAGCCCAAAATAACTGATTTCTGATGGCCCACTATAGCCCAAAATAACAAAGTCCAAGGAATGGCCCAAAAGACGCAAAGCCCAAATCCAGTGAGTACGCGGGGCGTACTCATCTATATGCTAAGCGTACAGGCTGCATGGCTTGTACGCTGTGCGTACGGGCTTGTACGCCCAACATACTACTCTGATAAGCCACGTATACCATTAAACACTTAGTACTCTATTCCAAAGGCTAAAATCACAGATCCAAGTCCTCTTCAACGTCTTAATCCATAAAGTCACTGACTTGGTGACTTTATATGACCCACATGAACACAAACTCAAAGTATAGCAATCTACTTCCATGAAAATTGGCATAACTCTTGAATGAACCCATGAAGACCTTCAAGATGGCAACTTTTTGTCTTAGGGACTCAAATAGCACCAACGGTGGCAACCCTAAGCCTAGAAACGGATTTAGGACCATAAAGCTCCATTATTAGGACCAAAATGGTCCAAAAACTCAACATAAAAGATCTAAGAACTCAATGATCAAGTTCAAGACTTTATACCTTGAAAAGGTCTGAAATGAAGCAACAATCCCAGATCTATAACTTCTCCTCTGAACCACCACCTTGCTTTTCTCTTCACTTCCTTGGAGAATGGATCCAAATACCAAAATGCTCTCCAAAGGCCTTCCAAGATCAAGAACACACAAAATATGTATTAGGGTTTCGTGGGAGTAGCTTAAGGATAAGAGGATGGTTGGGCTTTAAGGCATAATGTAATTTATATAGGGATCATCCCTAATTTTAGGATTTTGGGGGCTGCATGCGTACGCTGCGCGTACACTCATGGCAGCCGCGTCCATATCTCATGAGTACGCTGCGCGTACTTAGAATGGTGCGCCCCGCGTATGGCACTCCTCAGCCCAATCATAAGGACCCAATGGGTCCAAGCCCAAACCAATTCAATTAATTAATCCAACATATATAAAAATAATACCTTGGAGAATATCAAGCGTTACAACACAGTGGTTGATTCCACATGTAAGTCAGAGTACATTGCAGCGAGTGAAGCATCGAAGGAAGTAGCTTGGCTAAAGAACTTTATTGGAGATCTTGGAGTCGTTCCAGCTATTCAGGAACCGATGGAGCTGTTATGTGATTATGCAGGCGCGGTTGCTTCAACAAAAGAACCAAGTGATCATGGCAAATCCAAACATATCGACAGAAAGTACCATTATATTTGACATCGAGTAGAAGAAGGACATCTTCTGATGAAGAAAGTATCATCGGAAGATAATGTTGCAAATCCTTTCACAAAAGCTTTGAACATAGTCAAACATTACCAGCATGCTAGGAGCATTGGCCTAAGAGATGACATTAATTTTAGTAGTTAGGTGATATTTAGAAACATATAACAAAATAAATGTAATTGAATTGGTGAATGAATAATTGAGAATTATTTATGAGTATCATACTGCCTTATTCAATTATTTATTATTTTGTTTCTTTTTGCATGTTTATACTTCCTGAGTAATTTGAATTATTTGAACCCCACAGTCGTTCATACATTAGGAAGTAAGTAGTTAATTAAGACTGTCACAAATTGATTGTAGATTGTCGATTGAGGTTAAGACATTGCAATTAGAATTGCCACAATATTCATGAGTACTTTGAAAATAGGGATTTAGAGTATTGGATATACCAACTCTTAGATATTACTTCATGGATCTAGTCACAAGTAATTCCTTAGACGATAATATCTACTATTCTTCAAATAGAGATATGTTAGTTGTAATTTACAAATTGGTTATGTATTGGTGTTACGTAAACGCATAAGTAACTTGATGTTATAAAACGTAGTATCATATATTAAAAACGAAGATTTTACCCTTGATTTTTAGGTCGTTACGGAGACTAGTAGTCTTAGAGATGGTTTGGGAATCTCTATACCCCAGATTAGCGAGGGGTTGCTGTGAATCGGAAGTTTTCGAGTGAAATGCAAGTGCAGATATGTGGATTTCGGGTTATGAGTTGAGTATCGGGTTGGTTTTTGAGTGAGATCTCGAGTTGGGAATCGCAAGTGTTTTGTGCAAGATTTCTATCGAGTGGGATAAGAATAGGGATAAGGGTTCAAGGGTAAAGTATGGTTTCAATTTTGTTGGTAGATCAGGATCTTGTGTTTTAATTTGGTTCTATTTGTGTGGGGTCAAGCAAGCATGGGGTTTCGGATCTTCAGATGGATTTCTTTATATGATTGGTCATGGATTCCTTCGGATGGATTAGACCAGGGTGGGTCAGTTCGTAAGGCTGCGGGAAGACCACAACATGGACGGAACCAGGAAGTGGTAGGTCGTTGGGGGTCAGTTGTGATATAAGACTACAGTTGGTCTTATAGCACTCACTTTTAGCATTGGTTTTGGTGGTGTTAGGTTTGTCGAGTTATTATGATCGATTGGAACCATAAGTGGCAAGATAGCTTGAGCAATTATTGGCAGATGAGGCTTTCAAATCGGAAGTCGCATGGGGCGATTGTGTGCGTCTTTTGACTAAGTGGCCAGGAGGGAAACCGGTGTTTCAGTTAGTGGCAGGAAAACTAGGACGAGGGAGGTCTCGGTTGCTTTTGGAAAGCAGCTAGGGGGCATCGAGGTAAGTCAAGGTGGTATTAGTGATTTGGGATTCGTATGTGGAGTCGCTTGTTAATCAGAAAATATGGTATGACATTTGCAGCTTGGATTGGATAATCTCAGAGTAAATGATTTGACTCTGTTGCGCAGCTCTCGTCTGAGTCTAACCGTTGCAGGGATGAGTCATTTACTCGAAGGATTATCTGAATCTTCTGTCAAGCATAAGTTTTCTACAACGGTATATGGTTGGTGATTTTGTCCTTATGGAGGCATCAAGATAATCAAGGGTTGGGAGCGTTTTGTTTGGTCTTGAATTCAATGAGGTTTTGGCATGGTTGTGATTCAGTATGGGTGGTCAGTCAGTGAGTCACACCAAATTGAGACTTCAGAATTCAGGTTTCAGGTAAGGTAAAAATGGTTTTTTGCAAGGGATTAATGATTCATTCATCATCGGGTTTGGAGAGTTATGCTATGGTTGGGTTCAGTAGTCATGGGAATGCTGTGTGTGTGTACGGGGCTGTGGTTGCATTCTTCAGGCTGTCTGGGTGCCTGGGATGGTAAGGAATGATTTCGAGAACGAAATCTAATTCAAGTGGGGGAGAGTTGTAACACCCAAAATCTTGAGGAGCATTTGTAAGGAATTAATCCCATTTTGAGGACTGGACACAGCATGTTGGAGGCACCAACACGGCGTGTATCGTTGAGGAAAAGTGTGGTTCTCATTAAGATCAACACAACGTGTTGTGGTGTCTCAACACGGCGTGTTGGCGGCAGGGAAGGAAACCCTAATTTTAGGGTGTTGCACCCTATTTAAAGACCTAAAGTCTTCATGGATGGCCTCCTTAGGTATATACCTAGGCTCAACACTTTTATGAATTTTCATATGCAATTCAGCACATTAGGTCTCAAAATTCCTTAAGAATCTGTTTGGCGTTTTCATAGTTCTCCTAGCATTTTATCAAATAGCTACAATGCGAGAATAAATGCCATATTGTCAGTATCAAAAATTCAAAAACAGATTTAATTAATGAGTATATTAGTTCTTAAACTATCAGAGAGGAAAAGCCATAATCATAAAATCGAAGTTCCAATTACAGAGAGGAGAAGGGCATGCTTACGTGATCAATCTGAAGAACAAACAGGCATTGACACGGTAGGTTGCGAGGCAGCGGTGGCCGTTCCAATAAAAAAAGTTCGAGCAGGGTAGTAGTCGATGGTCGTTCACAATTCTGGTGGTGGTTCGTTGACGAAAAATTAGTGTTCCTTGAAGAGAGATTGTTGAGACGGAGTTCGGATGCGATGCTAGTGTGGGAGAAATGAGGAAGAGGGAAGGGACGACACCTCTCGGATTAGGGTTTAAGGGTACTGGATTGAAAGAAAATGTGAGGTTACAGAGAAATGGGAGAAATGTTATTTTTGTTTAATTTTTACAATTAATGAAATGTATACGTTCGGTTTTTTTAGAGTCAATTAAAGGAAATATTATAAATTATATGTGTAGTAAACAATAAGCATAATATGATTGTATATAATGTATTGGGTTTTGTACCTCTTAAATTTCAAGAAACACACAATATGCTTTATATAA